GTTGGAATCAATTCGAGTCATCATCTCTCCCGGATAGTGAGAACTTGCCTGAGCAACGGCAACGTAGAATTAATTGATGGAACTTGATGGTTATGATGATGCTCAAATTAATACACCAGATATGGTTACTAATGCTTGTTGGCTTAATCACATAATTGCTCTAGTATAGGTGCTAATCTAGAAATGCTTAATTGAATAGGTTTTCAAATTGATGCTAAAGGTATTAAATCTCCAAGTTATGTTACTTAAGCTTTATGCAAAATATTATCAAGCTAACTCCACCGATAAAGCCTTGTATACTCCTTGGTGTCATATTATTTCTGGTTTATAACGGGTAAGTCTAGCTAAGTATATTCTTGTACTCAGGGTTTATTCCCTCTTGTTGTAGATGATATGATGTATCATGGGTACTGTAAGAACTGCCTTCATCCTACCATGGATGAGGACTAAACCATTGGGCATGGTCTTCCTAAGATATTCTCTCTGTTCTGTTTGGCTAGAAATGACCATGGTACTGGCATGTATTTGAACTAAGTGTGATGTTGATGTCAAACTACTTTGCTTCCGCTATTTGAACTTGGTTTGTAATAACTATGTGAACTCTGATGTATGTGAGATACTTGTGAACCATTTGTGAACGGTGATGTAACATGTGACTTGTTATGTTGAATCATGTACGATCTTGGTTTGTATGTTGGTTGGTTTGAGATCGTTTGTGATTTCATCAGACTACTGGGTTTATATAGGCTCAAGTATGATAGTTTGATCGCTTCAGTGATTGCTATTGTACTTGTGCTCTTATAAATGATACACTTAGGTGACGAGGCTCAAGTGGAAGCTCATTTCGGTCCCTTTGGAGATAGTGCTAATCTTAACGCAAGACAGGTGCACTGTTTGCGCTGAACGTACCATAGGCTCTAAAATCATTTTGGACGCACCCGATGAAACTCCTAGATGACGTGGGTCATGTGGAATCTAGTTTCTGTTCGTTTGGAGACAGCGTTAGTGTTAGAGCAAGATAGGTGCATAGTTTGCGCCAAACATACCATAGGCTTAGAAATCGTTTTTGACACACCCGATGGTACTCCTAGGTGATGAGGCTGAAGTGGAAGCTTGTTTCAGTCCATTTTGAAATTGTGCTGATCTTGAACCCGTCGGCACGGACGATCTCTTGGTTTCCCATAAGGATGTGGCCACCAAGGGCCATTCCGTGGGTGAGCTCGCTAGGAGCCATAGGCCTCTGGTTTCCTGGGTGGAAGACCTGGCCATGGCCGGTGATGAGAAAGGGTATTGTCCCTCCTATGTAGGTGAACTATGGGATGTAGCCACTGAGGGCCGTTCCGAGAGTGTGTCTGTCATAGGCCACAGGGTCCAAGTCTCTAGGGTGGACGACCTAGCTATGGCTGAAGACGGACATGGGCGCTGACCCTTCGATGCTGATGAACTCACGGTTCCCGTGATGGATGCGGCCGCTGTGGGCCATTCCACGGGTGAATCCATCAACGGTGTGAGAAGCCATCGCTTCCATCTCAACAACGAGTGTGCGCGACTGTCCTCTACCTAGCGCGCCAATTATCGGTGTTTTGTAGACCGACTAGTAAATTTATATTATTGTCGCGCTACTCTAGGAAGACCATGTAGCATCCAAAAGCCACGAGAATTTATACTGGTTCAGGCCAGAGCCCTACGTCCAGTCTCAGAGATGATCGAGTGCGTATTCCTATATGTTACGGCTTATAAAATGCAGGCAAGCGTGGAGAGCCAAAATAATTAAAGTACTATGGAATATGCCTGCAAACATGCTTGTGCTGATGGAACATCATGAGATGAATAAGTGAAGCAATACTTTGAGTGAATGAAGATCAATTTGTTTTTTTATTGCTAGCATAGTTTAAGACTTGTAACTTGAGAGGATATTTTGGTTATTGCAAACATATTTATTCTGGTTCAGACATAATTTTCTAGTTATTGAATTATTGATTTCATATATGTGTGTTGATGATTGAATTTTTTTTCTTTAATTCTGTTATATCTGTGTTGCAAATATATACAAATGTCAAGCGACATAGGCGTACACAACGAAAATCCCCTCATCGCAATAAACCGATATGCATCAATTGTTGTTTGTCACAATAGACAATATTGCAACGTAGGCTATGCGATGCCATAAGACTTAGTAACAACAACAATGTGTCATTGCACTACCACTTATGTGCAACCAAAAATTTATGTGGCAACATAAGTTATTGCAATGAAACATTGTGCGTCGCAATTACGGATATAGCCACCAAATGATTTTATTGCAATGGAACATAGTGCGTGGCAACTAGTTCTATTCCCACGAAGCAATGGCATTGCAATATTGTCTCATTCTTGCAACACAATGTGTGTCGTGGCAACAGTTACTAATGCAACAATGCTATTGGTTGCAATATCTCCTATTGCTACCATATCATGCGTGGCATTTATTTTTTGTGCTCGTTGCGAAAATCAAAGTATTGCAACACATCAAAATTGAGTCTCAATAACCTATTGCAACATACATAAATGCCACGACTCACAATGAAACCAACTTCGAAGCATTTGTTACGTATTGCAACCATTCTTAGGCGTGGCTTTAGGGTAAAAAGCTTGTAGTGAATGCTCTGTAGTTCTTACAATGGGGGTGCAAGAATGATGGAAGATGGAGCTAGAGCTAGGAGATGGACTGCCCGAATGAGAGCTTTCGAGAGTCCGATGATTTGGAAGGGTGCTCTGGCTGACCTTATATAGAGTCCGGGGCCAGGTCACATACAAAGTGGGAGGTTCTCCTGACTAAGGGGATGTGAGCATGAGGGAGGGGCCTAACTAATTTGGCTTGTAAGAAACGCCATCTTGACTTGGTGTAGTGCACGTCCGTGCGTGGTTGTTGTCATGGTCTTGTGCCCATGTCGCGGCATGGTGTGGCGTGGTGCTACTGTGCCATTCGTGGCGGCACTGTGGGCACATTGGTGTTTCGCCAGCCATCCTACGTGATGTGGTCTCGCTATGGCCTTCATCATCGCCTCCTGATCTCCCGGGGGTGTCGTACCGGAGTTGGTAGCCGCCCCCAGGTCATTGGTCGTCTTGCTGCTTGTGGAGCCGGTGGCCATGATCCCGAGCTCCGAGTCATGGCCTTCATTGGCTTAGATGGCCTCAAATGTCAAGGCCACCGTCGTGGCCCCCATTCCGTAGTGGTTGGAGTCATACATCTGTCTTGTCGGGCCGTATTTGGACGGTGGGTCGCCATAATGGCCGCCACCGCTCAGCGGTGTTGTCTTGTCTACGCCATGTAGCGCAGGGATGGTGTCTGACCGGGCTAAGGGGACTACTATCCCCTCAGTCCTTGTAGGGTCAGTGCGGCATGCTTGCTCTTGTCAAAGCAGGCGTGCTTGGCAGGACTCGATCTGTCCCAGTTCCACCCCGCGATCGGGACGGAGTAGAGGTTATGAGGAGTTACACGGCGCACGATGAAGGTTGAGGGAAGAGGTCGTGGCATACCCCTGCCTTAGTGTTTGGCCCAAGTCCACGCAGCTTAGCTGGGCTTTGATCGTTTGAACTTATATTAGCTGGTGTGCCACGGGCCGCCCGCGTGGCTAATTAATCGGTGTCTTGAGATATCCTGGGTATCATAACCCCGACACATGGTATGCCAGACACTGAAGTCATGCAATTTGGAATTGGAAAAAGATTTAAGCAAAGAAAATCACGTACAAGAATTGCAGATACACTACTGGAAACTCGAATAGCCTTGTGAGTGACGAATTTTTCTGTGCATTTTTTCAGTACACAGAGAAAAATTAGTAATTAATGTGTCAGTTCCAAAAATCCAGACAGAAATACGAAAATTCACATAAAAAATTCATAGATTTTTCCGTCGGGTTTTAGACACACAGGCCTATTCGAGTTTCCACTAGTGATATACTGTAGATTGAGGGTGTACGTACGTTGTTCTAGTGCATGCACGGACGCACTTCTTTTAGTTATATTACTACAACTTTTCATGCACTACAAGCCTATAAATAAATATCATGACTAAGCATCGTCCACAGATTTTACCACTTCTTTCGCTGAGTACTACCGATTCAACATAACAGATAGACCACTCGTTAACACTGTGCTTGTGCCTATATATTCACTTCTCTCCTATTGCAAATCATATTGTCAATAGTAACTGTTTGACGAACACAAAATGAGGGTTCTTGTGGAGAAGCTGTTACTCTCGTTATTTTTGGTAGCTTTCTATCAAGGTTGGTTGAGAGTCAATTGTAGTTGATATCTTCCCACCAGTGTCACAAAATTTGGTGTTCTGATCCACTCTTGTTTCTGGTGTACATTATTATTTCCTGGAGTAACTTGCTGATCTCCGTCTCTTTTGTGTCTTAATTTGGTGTAGGGTGCATGGTGTTGTCTGTAGAATATGATCACACGGCAAGCATCGAGGCAAGTCTTCTCCAGATAACCCACTAAGCCCTTTCTCCCACTTACCCCTCGTTATGGATTCTACGCATCATCTATACAATTTATCTTGGCATCTTCGTCTAATAATAATATTTGGCAAGAGTTAAATGAAAGTCAGTTAATCTATGTGCATCATAAAACCGAGAAGCATATATTTTAAAGTAAAAACTGCTTATGTACTTTTTATCAATAATATGTAATGTCTTGTGAAGAATTTACAAATTGAGAAAATTCATCATCGTAATCTGTCAAATTCATCAAATGTGGTCAATAATCCAGCTGCAATCCTATAAATTTGTTTAAAAACGAAATAGTCCATCCGTTCTAAATTATAAAAGAAACTCTATTTTTCTATATGTGTACCAAAAGCGTAGACATAATGTATATCTAGCTGCGCAGTAATAGCATACCTAGAAACAATTCAGAACGGAGGGAGTAGAACAGTTTGATGTTCTGTAAAGCTTTGCTCAAATGACAATAGAAATGTACCGACTTTCGTTCTTATTTGCGAAATAATCTACATGCAGTGCCTTGGCGACCCAATGAAACCCTTGTACAAGGGCGGCATTGTCCAGAACAGCGAGTTCAATAGTGGACTGATGGGCTGGTCGACATACCGGAACATCAAGGCTGGCGTCAGCAGCTCGCCATCCGGCAACAAGTTTGCAGTGGTGAATGGGGCGGGAAGCCACGTGACCAGCAGTGGCAAGCTCCTACCGTCCCACAGCGTCTACCAGAGAGTCCAGATGCAGGGCGACAGGCACTACTCGCTATCAGGTACGTGATCTGAGATGAGCGAGACAGGAGAGACCATGATATATATCCCTGAAGCTGTAGCGTGCATGCATGGCATGTCTACTTTGCATTATTGTTCCCGTACGTGTTCACCTTCGTAAGTTAACCTGTGTGGTTTCTGGTTTGCGCGCCTACACCACACGCACTCCCCAGCATGGTTACAGGTGTCGAATGGCACGTCGGCCCATGTGAGGGCGGTCATAAAGTCCCCCAACGGCGAGCGCGTCATCGCTGGAGCCATCGATGCCCAGTCCGGCTGCTGGAGCATGCTCAAGGGAGGCATGACCGCTTACTCTTCTGGACCCGCAGAGATCTACTTTGAGGTAACGTATAAGCCAATACTAGAACACGATGCATGCTCATCATCATGGGCGGATTTAGGGGTATTCCCCAGTATTCCAAGGAATATCCAACTATTTTGGTACACTTTTACGTAGATATGTGTATATACTTATATATATAAATGTATAATGCTATAATCAATAGTATTTTCGCACATTTCAGCTCAAAACATGTAAAAAACTGGCCTTTCAATTAGAAGACTAGATTCTAAAAAGTAAATATTGGTTTAAAGTTGCTGATTTGCAGTGCTATTGGCTATATTTTAAGTCTATGGATTCGATTTTTTTTATGACGTGGAAGTGGGAATACCCAAGTTTTAAATCCTAGCTCCGCCACTGCTCATCATGCCTGCCCGTGCACACATATATAATCACAATTATTATTATTATTATTATTATTATTATTATTATTATTATTATTATTATTATTATTATTATTATTATTATTATTATTATTATTATTATTATTATTATTATTATTATTATTTCAGACTACGTACTAGTAACCAAAGATCGAATCGAATTGAATTGAATACGCGCGCCATGCATGCATCCTACAGAGCTACGCACCTGTGGACATCTGGGTGGACAGCGTGTCACTGCAGCCCTTCACCTTCGACGAGTGGGACGCTCACACCCGCCGCTCCGCCGACAAGGCCCGGAGACGAACCGTAAAGGTGGTCGCCATGGGCGCCGACGACAAGCCCATGGCGCATGCCAACGTGAGTATCGAGCTCCTCCGCCTCGGGTTCCCGTTCGGCAACGCGGTCACCAAGGAGATTCTCGACCTCCCGGCGTACGAGAAGTGGTTCACGTCGCGCTTCAGCGTGGCCACCTTCGAGAACGAGATGAAGTGGTACAGCACCGAGTGGACCCAGAACCATGAGGACTACAGCGTCGCGGACTCCATGCTGAACATGTTGCAGAAGTACCGGATCAAGGTGCGCGGGCACAACGTGTTCTGGGACGACCAGAACTCGCAGATGCAGTGGGTGAAGCCCCTCAACCTTGCGCAGCTCAAGGCGGCCGTGCAGAAGCGGCTCAAGTCTGTCGTCTCGCGCTACGCCGGCAAGGTGATCCACTGGGACGTGGTGAACGAGAACCTCCACTTCAACTTCTTCGAGACAAAGGTGGGCCCCAGCGCGTCGGCCCAGATCTACCAGCAGGTGGGGCAGCTGGACCGCAATCCCATCCTCTTCATGAACGAGTTCAACACGCTGGAGCAGCCCGGCGATCCCAACCCTGTGCCCGCCAAGTACGTGGCCAAGATGAACCAGATCCGCAGCTACCCTGGCAACGGCGGCCTCAAGCTCGGCGTCGGCCTGGAGAGCCACTTCACCACGCCCAACCTCCCGTACATGAGGAGCTCGCTGGACACGCTCGCCAAGCTCAAGCTGCCTATGTGGCTCACCGAGGTGGATGTCGTCAAGAGCCCCAACCAGGTGAAGTACCTGGAGCAAGTGCTCAGGGAAGGCTTCGGCCACCCCAACGTCGACGGCATCGTCATGTGGGCGGCGTGGCACGCCAAGGGCTGCTACGTCATGTGCCTCACGGACAACAGCTTCAAGAACCTCCCCGTGGGCGACCTCGTCGACAAGCTCATCGCCGAGTGGAAGACGCACCGCGCGTCCGCCACCACCGATGACAATGGGGCGGTGGAGCTCGACCTGCCCCTAGGCGAGTATGAGTTCACCGTAAGCCACCCGTCGCTGAAATCTGCTGCTGTTCAAACCATGACCGTCGACACTTCGTCGTCGGCGTCGGAGCATACCATCAACGTCAAGTCCTAGGAGACACACTACGTGACAGTCTGGCAGAGCTTTAATTAATTAGTTCTTTATTTATTTTTCTTTCTGGTGAATAAACAGATCGGAGAGAGCGAGAGGAAGAAAAAGGAGACGTGGCAGCGTGGCCACATTATTAGTAATTTCTTGCACGGCGAATTTTTTGTAAGCTATCTATATCTATTACAATAAAGTTAATTCTTGTTACAAATCTATGTCAACATGTAAGCCATCCACCTCATTAACATCCACACGTCATCCCCCACTAGCTATGTCATCCCTTCAAACCTTTTAATGTAAGCTATCCACATCATCTTCACTTAATTTCATTTCATATTATTCACAATCTCTGCAGCAACACGCGAGACCTTCTAGTTTAATATATATATACACACACACTACTGATTTTAAGTTATTAATCAAATACTACCTCTATCCTGAAATATAGTGTATTCTGACATTTGAAATTTGTCCTCAAATATAGTGCATTTGGGGAACAAGAAGATAATGTTTACTTAAATAAGAATACGTGATTATTTTGTACAAGGAAAGTAACTCACCGTTTAATCATGCGGAATAAAATCAGATTTCAATACATTAGGAAGGTAAGTGACAGGTACATACGTCTATTGCACTCTCCCTTATTTTATCAAAGAATGGCCAGAATACACTATATATTTCAGAACGGAGGAAATAGTATCGAATGTGGACTTTTATGGTTGTAATATAATAGCTATGTCATATCTATACGTATCCCTCATTTTATTCTAATATTAAACCCTAAGAACGGGGAAGGTAGGTCCTTTCCTGTTTCTCTTGGTTTCCGACCACTCTCGGTTCAGTATGTTTTCGCCCTATTCGTGAAGGTCCGGTTCGATATGATTTTTCATTTTCCATTTGTCTATTTTTTTTCCTTTCTATTTTTTTCTCATAAACGTTAGAAAAAAAAAAAAATATGCATAATATTATAGGTCTTTGAACCATTTATATTTCACTAAAGAACAAAATAAAGATTTTCACCACTAAATTGTTAACGTAGTTGTGATTAGAAACAAAAAACATTTTTATTAAAACCTAAATAAAAGGAGAAAAAAAGCATATGATAGTTCTACTAATCAAACAATTGGGTTGTACGAAATTAAAGTAATCATTTCATTACTTCCCAACATTATTAACTTATATTATCGATGTCATGGTCATCATAAAATAGATTACATCATCTTTTTATTTATTTTGAAAGGTTAAATCTAAACAGATTTGTACCTTTTCTATATCGTCATTTTCAATGAATGTTTGATATCTTTTTTTCTCTCGTTGCAACACACATGGTATATTTGCTAGTAATAATATTAAAGAGTAAAAGGTTTCTCTCGTTGCAACACAGAGTATGTTTGATAGCTTTTTTCTCTTGATATACTGCTGAATGAAAGCCAGGAAGCACTGTCCTGATCGGCAGCTGAACGGACTCGCATAGCTTCTTTGTTGTGATCAGTACTAGGCTTTGCATTGAATTGGAGAAGAAATAATTTTCTTACTCCATCTTTTCATCGAAGCAACCAAATTGACTAGAAAAAGGTTTTAAAGAATCTGTTGTTGTAGTAATAGGCCATAATTGGAGTACCTTTAGTGACCTAAGGTGTAACTATTGGAACATCACTTATGCTAGTAGCAATTATTAAAGTAGGGACAATCACATCATGGACTCTACACAATGTCCACACACTTAACTCGTACGAGCATGGGAGAGAGTGACGGACAATGAAAAAACTTTGTATTTTAACTCAGTTGGAATTAGATTTTGCCTGTGACATACTACTCTAACTTGTACAGGAACGAGAGAGATTGAATAGGTCAGATCTCTCGTCGCACACAGTTGTGGGCAATGAAGGATGGCTTTGCTAAAAGGAAAGGAGGAGGATGATCCCATGGTTTCTCAAGATTTCAATGCAGAACAATCTAGCATTATATCAAATATGGCAACTGGTAATTCTTTAAAATCCTTTGTTCTTCATTTTGGTGCTTTTCCATATATATATATATATATATATATATATATATATATATAGATGGAGAAAATATTCACTATCGGTGACATCTCATCAATGCTTAGTTTTAGAGGTGCAACAATTGTTAGCCACGTTGATGCGAATATAAAGCCATAAGAATATATTTATACTAGATGATACTGTTGAAATGAAACTTAGACTGACAGGATCTTAACTTAGCCAAAACATGATCACTAACTCAAACTTATGCGGAATGTATCTTAGTGACTAACCAGAGACTGTGGACGCCATCTGGATCGTTGGAGATGCAATGGAGGTTGTAGATAGCCTAAACATGATCACTAACTCAAACTTATGCGGAATGTATCTTAGTGACTAACCAGAGCCTGTGGACGCCATCTGGATCGTTGGAGATGCGATGGAGGTCGTAGATGTAGCAGATGATTTGAATTCACCATCTGAGGACTTGAACGCCCTCTGTCGGTGAAGAATGTGAAGAGCCGGGTAGCAGCTGCCCTCTAGACCGAGATGGACCTGAATGGAATAGATATGGGTGACGGCCTTCTTAAACCCTCCAGCGCCTAATTGACCGGTTATGTAAATAGTCACAAGGATGGATGGGATAGAGACGCCAGGGGCGCCTCCTCTTATTTATAGTTGCGCTGTGGGCCAGGGGACCGAACCCTTAGAATTCTAAGGGTTGTCGCCGATCACAGCAGTTCTTATTTAGTTGGAAATGAATGACGAGTGGGTGGACCAAAAGCTTAACGTTTAATTAATCTCATAATTAAGTTCAGGATTAAACGAAAGGATCACATTCCAACTTTCTCCCACTTGATCGAACGGCTAATGCAATTATACAACTAATGTTCGCTTTACACTTATGTCCACGCACAGTACTAAAGCAAGACCAAACCAATACGTCGCCAACATCACTTAATCACCACTGGGACCCCATTACCTATAGTTCACTGCAATACCTTGTTAGAACACTTATTTCTTATTGGGAGTATATGGCCGTATTACCAAGAATCAAGTTAGAGACTCTGCACTAAAACCCAAATTGATTCGCTCATAAATGGGATAAGTATTAAGCCTAAAATAATCAAATATGCTAGCATCAGCTTAGTTCTTTTTTTTAGGCTTAATAATTTGATCCTAGGTTTTTTCTTTCACAACATATTTTTTAATCAATGTGCTGGCATCAGAATTTGATGTATTGTTACTCGAAATAATACTACAACCGAACTGTGCTGGCATCAGTATTCATGCCACTAATTTAGCTCATCTTAAAAACTAATTATATTTGGAGCTTTCAATTAAACTGTCCTTTTCTACGATAGTAGGTATAATCTAATTGTGCAATTTCTTATACATACTCAAGAGAATTGGCAATCGACTAATTCTTAATTCTTATAAGTGACATGATGATTCTTTTGGTGCTTTGTTAATAACTTAAAATTCTTTAGCATCTTCCAGTGGACCTATTCTAATATTTTTGCCAAGTCTAGACTAGTATTGACTTAAGCATTCTTAAAGTTAATGATAGCCGAAGCATATGGAACGTCTTCCTCTTCAACTGTTACTAACTTATTCTTAGAATTATTTGGGATAATTAATCTTATTGCATTGTGCAACTGCACTATGCAAATAGACAGGCGTGACATTACTTATTCAAACTCTATCACTTAAGCATTCATTTGATATTCCTTTTGTGAGAACTAGTACTCAATTAGTCCTGTATTGGTGTATTTCAATAGCTAATAACTCAGAGGGCGTACCCAGTGCAGAGAGCTCTCGCTCTGTGCGGGGGCTAGAGAAGGGTGTCAAAGGCTTCACCAAAATATATCATATTAAAAAATTTTGGTGAGTAGAAAACTCTTATGTGACATTCCTATTGCCACGTAACTCAACTTCACCCACATAGAGTATTAGGACAATAAACTTTTCCACCTTTTCTTATAAACATAATTGTTCACTTAATGAAATTCTAAACCATAGTGGGCTATGTTCTTAGTTTAAATCTTTCAAAACTCCCTTTGAAGTCACGCATAGAATTAGAACCTTTTATAGACTACTGGTTTGACTTCATCAGGAAACTTATTAACACCCACATTTTATATATACTTATGGACCTAACCTCATAAAATTGCTTAGTTTAGAATAACAAAATTCCTCTTCTGATGTAATCATCTTATAGATTTATCATGAATCACAAGCAGATTAATAACAATAGAGTTTTACTTATGTGCCTACTTGTCAACTAATGGTTTCTACATATATCTATCGTGGCTTACTAATTGACTCTTAAAAATCCACAATAGAAATTATAGTAATTTAAATGGAGGTATACTAATGACTTATGGCGCAAACTGAGATATTTATGCCTTCTTGAGTCATTGATACAGAAAACTAAGTTTGTATCTCTCCAAGATTTAACCTTCCTCCTTTGTGAACTCCAACTAGCTCCCACTGATTTTTGCATTCTTTAGGAACACATTCATCAAATCTTAACTTAGTGAAATAGTTATAAGTTATAATAGTGGAAAAGCAATCCCTTGGACTTTGCTTCCACTGATTTTTGTGTTCTCTAGAAACATAATCAGGGTGTGCCATGTGGATAGTTCATTTACTTAGAATCTCATTTCTTATCCTTAGCTAGACTATACTTATGTCTTGCTGATGTTTTGCCCAATAGAACTTTTATGGTCAAATATTCATCAATCAGCGTTGGCTAGAATGACAAATATAAGGCATATAAGTCTCCAAAAACAAGCTCTATGAACTAATCTAATCAGCGTTGGCCAAAATAAACTAGAACAAGAAACTGGGTGGACATGCAAACACTAATCAGCATTGGCCAGAAATAGTGGAAGCAAGTCATACTTCAATTAGAGACTAATGTGGGCTTAGGGACAAAAATTAGTATCAATTACTTATTTCTCAAGTCTCACGCTTTATAATTTTATTTGAATAGAGCATCTCTTTCCCGATGAGATAGTCCATTCTCACCTTCAAAATGTGGGTTAACTATAGTGACACAATTTCGACAAGGTCTCATCATCTTGACTAATGAATAACTTAAAGATAAAACTGACATAAAGAAAACTCATATTATGGGAAATAAATCTCTTTGCCAACTAATAAGATAAATCATAATGGAATAAATTTGATGGATTCGTAAACTCCAAACTCAAGAACATTTATTTAAAATACAAAGTATCTCATACTAAGATGACATAAGCATCATTAAGAACTAAGTTTAAAACTAATCTAATGCGAAGCTCCAAGGCTTGATTTTATCTTTATTCCATCAATGGCTTCTTAGACTTTGCTCCCCTAGTTTGGCAAGACCTTAGGAGAAGTTAGGATATCCATTATTGCACCTTAGTTAATCACCCATATGTTGGGGAAATATCTTACGTAAAATTTATGAGACAACTTAAGTTACCTGTCTTTCGAAGTCATTCTTATACTTATCATCAATTTGGTAACTTGCAAAATTTACACACTATTGAAAACTTATCATTTTGAGCATGTTTATTATGGTTTTCTGGCATAGAATTCATAAGGTAATTTACCATAAACTCATCAGACACATCTAATCCAAGTGCCTTTAACTCATAAGCCATATCAAACAAGCTCTTAACGTGGTTACCCAGACCACTTATCCCATCATAACGGGAATTAAGTAACTTATCAAAAAGGAAAACCTTTCTAAAGTGTGCTCTTATGGAGTTGTGAAGCTCCTTAGCACTTAATTTCCTGTTATTTTCATTAGAAAGGAACCTCCTGATCATGTTAACTGAGAGCGACCATTGTATAATTATTTTGGCAATTTTATCGAATTTTTGCCATTTTTCTAATTTTGGGATGTGCTGCTTCATCCTCTCAGCATAGTACACACAAATAGGAGAAGGAGCACGTAGTTTTTCCTCATGAAACACATAATCAAGGTCCAGCTCCTTGAGAATGGCATGCACCTAATTATTTCAAGTAGGAAAATTTGTGCAACTTAAGGGTTCTATTTTACTTATATAGTCTGTATAATTTACTGAAGAATTTGAAGTAAAATAATGTCTCAATTTATAAGCTGTATATAAGATGTACTTCAAGCATGAAGGTTGGTATTAATAGCATGCTTAACAACTTTAATTTGCATCACCGTTGGGCGGAAAACAAACCAAAATTCATCTTCAATAACTCATAATTAAAGTCAACGTTGGTCAAAAATTAACTATGTGTAATCTCCAGTTAAACTTCTCGTTGGTTCCATTCAACCAGAGACCATCTCATTATACAGTGGTGGATATAATGTATATATAAATATAAATACTTATAATTGAATGCAAAATATTGCAAAGCTTAATCTTAGAGCATCAATATAAAAACATACTAATGCTCAAGAAAACATAGAATTAATACTGGAACTAAAACTAAAAACTCCAACTTAGAACTTATTTAAATGGTGCATAAAAATTAACTAAGTAAAAAGCATTAAAAATATTAAACTCAAATATTCTTAGCAACATATTCCCAAAACATACTTATATTAACTTAAAAGATCACAAAAAAATCAACTTAAACTTCATATGAAATGGGAATATGCAACATTATATCGGCCGTAAACTTATTTGCAATAAAGCACTAATTAATTTACTGATGTAAAAGGTAAAGCAAAACTTAAATCTGAATAATAATAATAAACAATAATTTGGATTAGAATATAGCCCACTTAAAAAAAATTATTATAATTCACTCATGGGCTAACTCTTGCGGCAGAAACAATGCACAGTTGGCCGAACTTATCGTGCTGCATGCCTCTGAGCAACAATTGAAAAACTCAATTTAAGAAGTAAACTACTAATACACTGAACTAGATTATGGAAAACATAAAACTCAATTCAGCCTTTAACCAACTCAGCACGGAGCAGCCCAAAAGCACAGCGCCAGGCCACGGCATGCTCATGGCCGAGCCAGCCCATGTGGTTCTTCACTTAAAAACCCAATAACAGCCCAAAAAGAAAAACCCTAATGTCAAGCGATCTCAACCGTCGATCTTAATCTGATGGCTACGATTCGTCCTGCGCTCATATAAAATATTGGACTAAAACCCAGTGGACCTCACTCTCTCACTCCTTCTCCCCTGCTTCTCACAGCACAGCGCCACACACAACAGACATAGAGGAGCACAAACCGCGCGGTACCGCGGCGCTCGGCTCGCCGGTGCGCGCGGGCGGCAGAGCCGCGCGCGGCTCCGTCGAGTCTGGCTGCCTGGTGCCCTTATGCGGTGGAGTGGAGCACAGCGCAGGCGGCCAAGTGCTCAGCCCAGCGGCGGCGGCGCCTAAGGCCCGCGCGGCTGCACGCCATCAAGACAGCGCTCGGGCACGCGGCGTTGGTCTCGCCTTCGGCCAGCTGCGCAGGGGTGGTGTCGACGGTGCCTGCCCTCATCAGCACGTGGTGGGGTCAAGCTGTAGGGCACGTACGGTGCCCCGAACTAATCGGCACCCGTGTGCGTGCCTTTATGCCCGCGGCACAGCCAGTGGCTGTAACGGCGACCTAGGCAAGAGCATGGATACGAGCCACGCATAGCCGGCAGCGGCGACCCGGCCTAGAAACCAAGTTCGAGCTGCACAGGTGCCATATCCATCATTGATGCTTATGGTTTGGGGAGTTTGATTATGGCTGCTGATTTGATTCAATCCCCTCCTAAATGCTTAACTCAGATTAATTTTGTGTACTTTGAAATCAATCGCACAAAATGGCATTTAATCAGTGGCTAATAACTTAGGCCAACATAAAAAAATACTGACATCTAATTGCCGAACTTAGACATGAATTATTAGACTTAAGCTTAGATTGATTGAAATGTCATGATGCATGTAATTTCATCTTAATTTCAACTTAAGATGCTGGAAGAGAGAAACTAACTGCTTATGTTTTATGGTAACAGATCGTACATCAATCTTAGCCATGCATATATAACCGATCTGTCTTAGGCTTTATTACGCCTAATCACGCATAAAAATTACTCCTTAGGCACGAAAATAAAACTGAAATATGCATCTTAGACTTTAACAGATGGGAAATTAACTCAGGCATGCAGAAACGATCACGGTAACAGATCTAATCTTAGAACTAGTTATACTTTGAACCTGACGAATCAATCTAAAACGTATCTGTTTCAACTGCTAATGCCATCTAAACTTATTTAGCCGATCTGATCATGGGCTAACGTCCGACTTAAAAACACAGTAGATTAAAACTGAACTGATCTTAACAGAGGCATAAACAAAACTAACTCTGGCCTAGGATCATGTTAGGACTAAGTAGACTTCGATACCAATTGTTGAAATGAAACTTAAACTGACAGGATCTTAACTTAGCCTAAACATGATTACTAACTCAAACTTATGCGGAATGTTTCTTAGTGACTAACCAGAGCTTTTAGACGCCATCTGGAACGTTGGAGATGCGATGGAGGTCATAGATAGCCTAAACATGATCACTAACTCAAAATTATGCGGAATGTATCTTAGTGACTAACCAGAGCCTGTGGACGCCATCTGGATCGTTGGAGATGCGATGGAGGTCGTAGATGTAGCAGATGATTTGAGTTCACCGTCTGAGGACTTGAACGCCCTCTATCGGTGAAGAACGTGAGGAACCGGGTAGCGGCTGCCTTCTGGACCGAGATAGACCTGAATGGGATAGACGTGGGTGACGGCCTTCCTAAACCCTCCAGCGCCTAATTGACCGGTTATGTGAATAGTCACAGGGATGGATGGGATGGAGACGCCAGGCGCGCCTCCTCTTATATATTGTTGCATTGTGGGCCAGGGGGCCGAACCCTTAGAATTCTAAGGGTTGCCGCCAATCACGACAGTTCTTATTTAGTTGGAAATGAATGACGAGTGGGTGGACCAAAAATTTAACGCTTAATTAATCTCATAATCAAGTTCGGGATTAGCCGAACCGATCACATTCCAACAGATACCCCTCACATTGCTGAGCGAATTTTAGAATGCTATATAGGAGGAACTATCACACATAAGCTTCAAGCTACAAACCCTCCGGTACCAATGAAATCAACTGACTTAGGCAAGGAAAAGTGTCAATTTATTAATCACCTTACAGATTGCACAGCTCAAGTATATCTTGGCTACTAATTAAAATTTAAAACTTAAAGATTGACTTACGTCATGCAAAGCCAGCATATATTTTACAGGAAATTAACGTTCATGTGAAAAAGCAAAGAAACAATTTTTGATCCTTAGGAGATTGAAAATAAATAAATATCCTACCAGGTGAATGAGGAACTTGTACTTCCGAGCTGTTTGGTGCGGAGAAATGTAACGCAAATGTAAATGATAATAAGCTGCGGACGTTACCGGCGGGATATACGTTTCAACTAATTTTATTTACGTTTACGTTACTTTGGAACCAACCAAACAGCACGTTCATTGTTTTGCAGTTTTGGTTGGCAACAAATTCTAGTGGCTCTCCTAACTGGAGAAATGAGGCGTAGATCACCAGTATATATAGACACCGTTGGTAATAAGAGAAGATCCACCCCTTCTGAGGAAGTAAACTGTAACATCACAACTTATGGTGAACAACAAAACCATAGATTGATAAAAGGAGGAGAAACCATAATCCTTTGTATGCCCCCACACAGCGCTGGTGGATGAAATAAAACTGAGGTACGGCGAGTGGATAGTGTAGCCAATGATGGAATCGAGCTTTCTAAATTATTTATCTAACAAATATAAGAAAAAAGGTGTAATAAAAAAATTAAGTTCATGCTCTGTGTTGTTGAACAAATGAATTAAACAATAAATAACTACTAGACAAAGTTGAAAAGAGCAAATAAATAATTAAGAGACCTGCTTACCTGATCGTGCTCAGCGCGTAGCTGAAGGTAGATGATGATGTGCTCGGCTGCTCTTTGCTGGTGTGCACAGTGGGTAGCTGGGGCGGCAAGGATCGCTCAACCTCGCGAGTCGCGATGTCTGTTTAACTTCAAAGGATGGTTCATGTTGCAGGTCGCGGTCACAGAGCTAGGCGGCAGTCGAGTGTCAGGCCACCAGGGTCATCGATATATATGGATGGCAGATCCTTCGTATTCCCGCAAGCACACACCGCATGAAATGAATGACTGCTCAGAATCCCTCCACTAAATCGTATAGAGGAGGTGGGCACGTAGTGGAGGCACGAAGCTATGAAGACCAGAGAAGATGAATAGGTTTGGGTCATGATGTTGTGGAGTGACTGCATGGGATGACATGGCAGCATGAGAAGCAAGAAAAATACTCTAGTGGCGATCTTCTATTTCGGTATAGAGGCTAGAGGATTGACTTTAATATTGCCAACCTGTATTGTTGAAGTTGATCCAGTTACTACTTAATTAATTGTGTCGAGCAGTATTGGAGACTATATTGAATATTTCCATCATAAGATACTTTCATGCGATTTGTTGTTTCGGACCCAAGTCTTCGAACACCGGATATCATCGAACTCACAAATAGAAAAAGGCAATAAGGAAATGAAATAGCCAAGGCGATATAGAACTGGTGGTTTCATTATTCATTCCCCTCCTTCATGTAGCACAACCAACATTATTTATATGTTTCCCTTTACAACACAAGGACCCTTGTGCTCCCCGCACCTATCCGAGATACCTAGAATATTCCTTGGAGCAGTGGGCACCTCGGCCAAATTTACACAAGAACCCAAAAAGCATCTGCCTCATGGGACCGCGGGGACCACTAAAGCCTTCGCTCGACTTCGTGTTCCTAGCTGTGTCACTCCTTTCCTTAGTCACCTTGTCCTCGGTGGGCTCCTCCTTCGTGATCCAACTCATCACCCCATGCTCTTAGTATGCCGA